TGGGCTCCCCCTAACCGCCCCCCCCCTTCTTCCCGCTACAACAGCACCAACCGCCCTGTGTCCCTGGTTGTGCCGTCTGCGTGTCCCAATAGACTGCAGGCCCCCCCGAGGGCAGGGCCAGGTCTGAGTCACTTCTGTGCTCCCAGTGCGGAGGGGGAGGGGCCTCTGCATTTGCTCACTGCGGTGTTCAATGGAACATTCTAGCATGGGGGCAGCTGGACTTGCCACATGCTCCCCAAACCTTCCCAAGAGTTTGCACTTGGTCCCCAAACTCCTCAGTCCTGGATCCAAGAAACTTTCCTTCCCACCTCTTCACCTGGCCCCCCTGGGAACATGCCTGGGACCTGGCCTCTCTGTTCTCCCGTCTGCCTCCCGGAGTGTTCAAGGCTGGGTAGGGCTGAGAAAACCATCTCTAACCAGAGCTGGGGCCTCCCCGGCCCCAAAATTCAAGGTCCAGCTGCGAGTCTCAGATCCTTATTAGAGCCTCTGATCTGAGCAGGTGGCTTTTGGGAAAAGACTCCCAGTGTCTGCAACGTGAACTCCAGCAGAGGCTGGCAGGCCAGAGTGGTGCCGGCTGGAGGGCAGAGGCCACGGCCCTGCGGTCCCCTGGCGGCGTGCCCTTGGGCAGAATGCTTGGTGGTTCCCGTTTCCTCTCAGGTGAGCCTGTGCCCCTGGGCTGCGCGGAGCGAGGAAAGCATGCCCACAGTGAGGGTCACAGCCAGTGAGGCTCCCTCGGTGCTCACCACCCTCTCTGCCAGGGGACTCATGTGGTCACGCCATCCCACACGTCTGGTCTCCCAGGAGTGTGCAATCAGAGGACCCTAACCTTAGTGCGCATCTGCCCAGCCCCCTTCCCCCGGACAGGCTGAGCCCCGGGGAGGAACTGATCGGCCAGAGTCACATGGCAAGTCACGGGGAGACAAAGCCGGAATGGCGGATCTCCCAGATGCACCCCCCCCAACAGGGCGGGCGTGGTGACCCGGGGCTGAGGAGCCCTGGGCCAGGCTCCCGAGGTGCTCAGCTCATGGACCTCTCCACCAATACCTGCCCCCGCCAACTCCACCAACTGGGGCCTTCTCTTCGTCCCTCCCGGAGGGCACCCCCTGCCCCCCTTCTCACCCTGCCGGACTTGGCTCGTCAGGTCCCGTGTCCCCGCTGGCCATGCCCCCTTCTCCTGGGACCCCCATCTCTCCAGCCATCCGCTCAGGGCCTCCTGCTGGTCCCTCTGGCTTCAGGCTAGCTCAGAGCTCGGCCCCAGGCCCTCTGACTGGCACACCTCAAAGTCTCCCTCCACTTCCCACACATGCCTACAGCCCCAGGTGTCATCTCAGAGCCAGTGGTCCTGACCCGAGACCCTGTCTCCTGACTTTCAGACAGGAGATCACCACCAGAGGACATCGTCGTCTGATGTCCCACGGGCACCTAGCACTCAACCTGCCCCACACTCAACTCCGTCCCCCTGCGTCCCCTCCTGTGAGGGCACCGCACTCACCCTGGGCCCAAGTCAGGGACCTGGCCCACATCCGGTCACCTGAAGCCCTGCTAGTTGAGCCCACTTCCTTGGCCTCCCTGCACCCCGCCCGCTGACCACACCCCTGCACCCCGCCCACTGACTGCGCCCCTGCGTCCCCACCTGATGTCGTGCCCCTGCACCTGACCCCTCCCTCGTTTCTGCTCCAACCCCTCTAGCCCGAGAGCCTGCTAAGTGGCATTCTGACCACACCCCCCTCCTCACTTTATCAGAGCTTCAGGGATCAGCCCCAACTTCTGGCCACGACCTTCAGCCTCCACAAGGTCTGGCCTGCGCCTACCTCGTTTCGTCTCCCACCTTTCTGTGCCCGGGCCGCACACTACCACCCACGGCCACCTGAACGCACGGGGCTTTCACGCAGCTGCAGGCCCCCCCTTTGGGCCATCGCCCCTCCTGCTAGGGAACCTCCTTCCACCCTTGCAGACTCACCTCACCCAAGTGGCCTCTGCCGACCACTTCTGCCCCTTCCAGTCACCGGATTTACCGTGTCGCCCGGCTCTGTGTGACGCACTTCCGGGTACACAGCCGGCTGCCGCGCCACGCGGATGCCCAAGGGCCCCGCCCAACCCTGGGTCCTCCTGCATCGGCTCTCAGGCTGCCAGCACCCAATCACGGCGTCTCCTTTGCGGCAGCCACCAGGCCTGTCCGTTCGCAGAACACCTATGCTGTGAGTGCCACGCTCGCCCAACAGGCACACGGCAGGGAGGGGGCTCCCCGCACTTGATACACGGGCCACAGCTCACAGGCCGCGGCCGAGGGGTCAGAGGCCACTGCACCTGGAGTCAGGGGTCTGTGAGCTCCAGACCCGCCTCCACAGCCCTCCCAGTTTGGTGCAGAAAGGAAAACAACGCATTTCCACGTTTGGCATACAGGTCGCTTAAACATTTTACGAGCTAGCAACGTTTCTGAAAAACAGACAGACGTGCGAAGTTTGTCTTACAAACTCATCCACGCACTTCGGTTTAGTGGAGGGAACGCCCTAGGTGAGTCACGTCGCCTCGGAGCCCTTGGTCTCCCCGTCTGACCTGTCCGGTGGCGGGGAGGACACGACAGGTAACGTGTCTGCTGTGCGGTAAGGGCTCAGACCTGCCAACATCATCTCTGAGCTGCGGCATCCTGCCCGTAGCCAGGGCCGGCCCTGGCCCCTGGGGTCAAATCTCTGCTCCTTTGGGAGATGCCGGCCAAATCACCTCGCCTCTGAACCTGCTTCCTCGAAGGGACAATTGTGACGGAACCTCTGCCCTTCCAGGGTCACGAAGACCAGCGGGCGAGTGTGGCCGTCTCCACGCGGCCCCTGGTGCCCAGCAGGTGCTCCGTGGGTATCACTTTCCCCTGATCACCTGTGTGAGGACTGCAGGGAGGCCGACGCGGCTGGCTAAGAGTGGACCCCGCAGGGATGCGGGGCTGGGGCCGGAGGGGCTTGCTCACCTTCCTTCCGTCCAAGCTGCCCTCGCTGCCCGCGTATGCCAGCTTCCGGCGCACGTAGAAAAGCATGTCGTCCTGCCGTGGCGCCCACTTCTCCATGAAGTAGGTAGAGAACATCCACGTCCAGAAGACGATGCGGTCATCCTTGAAGCACCCTGCAGTGGGGAGGCCAGAGAAGACTGAGAAAGGACGGGCCAACCCGGCCCTGGCGTGTGACCTTGGCCAAGCCCTGTCTCCCCCGCCTTCTCTGCACTCCCAACCCCCAACCTGCATGTCTGCTTGGAAATCTGCTGGAGCTCTCTCTGCGATGCGCTAAGCCCCCTGCTCCCTCACTGCCACCCCCACCCCGGCCAGGGGACGGGGGCTCAGGGACACCTCCCAGCAGGCCCAATGCCTCCACCCAGCAGAGCCCGAGAGCCCCGGCTCCCAGCCCCACAGCCCCGGCGACTCAGCGTGGATGAATCAGCAGCTTCGGAGGGAAGGGAGGCCCTGAGGAGAGTCAGCGTCACCGCTGTCTGGGCTGGGAGCTGACTACGGCTCAGGCTCCAGAGGGAGCTCAGGCAGGCTGGCACCACCCTCGGCCAGCATCCCCCACCCCCACCCCAGGCTGCGGCAGTTCCCACGGAGAACCCGACTTAAAGGAACAGCCCCGGCCGCAGGCACAAAGCAGGGAAGGCGTCCACCCCCTCCCTCACCCCTGCACGCAGCGGAGCCTTTCACACCAGATCTGTTCTTGCCTGATCTTCGGGGGGGACTCTTTCTTTCATTACAAATACTTTTTCTTCAGGATACATAAATCTGTCATCGTCCTTCCCGCACGAGAAGTCGCTCAAGCGCTCTGGTGGGAAAGACCTGGGTGCCCGCTCCAGCTCTGCCACTTGCTGGGTGACGACAGGCAGGCTGTTTGGGACTCTCTGGTCCGTAGGTTCCTCACAGCGAATGTCGACTGACCGAGAGCTGCCCGGGAAGCGGCACATACAGAGCCCGTGCCTGGCACAGAGCGGGGTCTACGACGGTGGGCTTCCTTTCTGGGCAGACCCGACGAAATGTCAAGGTACCCGACAGGGCTGCTTCTCACGAACTCAAAAGATTAAACTGTTGCCGGTTTCTTCCTCTCTTTTCCAGAAACTACTCCACCACTGTGACCTCGTCCTGGGTTTGGGATGCCAGAAAGACCTAATCCCCACCCCTAGAGATGGGGAACCCGAGAGCCGGCCGGTGCCGGCCCCCTCCCCCAACACAGGACTGTGGTCTCCCATGGAGTCAGCCGTGAGGCTCTGGAAGACTGATTGCAGAAAACCCCGGGCTTTTGTTCATTTCAGCCACACCGAGACCAAAGAACCGGGGCTCCAAACCAGCCTCTGCCCTCTGTCAGGCCGCCCGCAGTCTGTGGCCCACCCACTCCCATGCCCTGCTTGGCTCCCAGAGGGAGGAAGACAGAAGGGGCCTTCTGATCAGGGGTCCGGGTCAGGGAGCCTGCCCCGTCGGCCCCAGGCTCACCGGCACCAGGTGGAACCAAGCCCACCGGGTGTCATCACTGCTTTGAAATTCCCACCACGCCGACCTCAGGCACTACGGGTGCCCTGCAGAGGCGAGGGGAGGCGCCCCGTCAGCCCTGGAAAACTCCCCAGAAGCAACTCTGGCCGTGAGTTGCTGGAGTCGCGGCTCAAAACCCCGCCACCTGCCACGGAGAGGCAGAAGCTGGCTGTCAGCGTCCTTCCGCGGGGGATCCCTTTCGTTGTGCTGACACAAGTCACCCGGCAGTGACCCGGTGCCAGCTGGGCACCCAGTCAGTGTCAGGGATGACGAGCAGGCCACCGGCTGTGATTCGTGACGCGCCTGCCACCTGTGGGTCGTGGGCGAGGAGCCCCACGTGGGGGAGCCCTTCAGCAGTCACAGCGCCCTGTCTTCACCGCCCACCGCACAGGAGAAGAAACCCACCGTCGGGAGGTTCAAGGACCCTCTCAAGTTCACAGTTAGAAGCTGATGCAGCCGCAGACCCCTCGGACCCGCACTCAGGCTCTTGACAAACGCCCCCGCGCTATGCTGGGCAACCTGGCGGAACGAAGGACCCGGATGCCCGGTAAGCAGCTGTCGTGCCCGAGGAGTGCAGAGGAAGGAAGGCTTCCCAGGCGGGGGATGGAGTCTGGCTTCAGGAGCAAAGTTCCGGGGGTGGCGCAAAACAAGCACCCGTTTGCCCTTGGTAGAGGGGCACAGCGGGGGCCAGGCGAGGGGGCCCCCGTTTCCCTGCTTCACGGCGCTAAAAACACTCTGGTCGCACCCCGTCCACCCCGGCCCAGGAGTAAAGTCCGCAGGCCCCGGAGCCTGAAGCAGACGGCCGGCTAGTAGTGCACGCCTTGTACAAAGGCTCGGCCCAAAGCCCACCCTTCCAGGGTCCCCCACTTTCCACCGGCCACACCCAAACCTCTCGGAGGGGACGGTGCTGGGCCCGGCACGCAAATGCCCCCCACCAAACCCCCAGCAGCCTGGTGGCCGGCAGCGGTCTGTGGGTGC